ACCAAATTTCAGCAATCAACAGATATTCTCATATATACCATACATACCTGCTGCGTTACGGGAAGGATGTTATCCCTTTTGCTCGCGCGTCACGAAAAAATCACATTCGTCAAATATGAAAATTCATAAATTTCCTCCGTCGTCCCCCCCCCCCTTAGTTTCGCAAAAGGTTATCAAATCTCAAGATAAGAAAATAATAATAATAATAATAAAACTGTATATACATATCAGATCATATATCATATCAGATCTTACTGCCACAAAACACTCCCAGGGCCTTCTTCGTCTCGTCTCCAGTCTCCTTCACAAGCCCACTAACCTGCTTAAACACCACATGCTTCGCATCGCCCATGATCTCAAATAAAAGACTCTCGCTCGTCGTCACAATCGCGCCCGCATCCCGCAGCCGCGCCAACGCCACCACCCTCTCCTCCGGGTTGACACTGCTCACCCCATCCGCAACCACATACACTCTGTGGCCCAGCGCCAGCAGGTCCAGAGTCGTCTGCATGATGCAGATGTGCGACTCGATGCCGACGATGATGGCGTCGAGCGGCTGTGCTGGGAATTGGGCCTTCAGCTCCGGGGTGACCATGGAGAAGAGGGTTTTGTCGAGGTCGGCGCGGACATTGGGGTTTGTGGCTGGGTCGATGTAAGGACCGAGCTCGGAGACGGTCGTGCCGAGGCGGGCGCGGTTTTGGGTGGTGATGTAGATGGGGATGTTAAGGGGTTTGGCAGCCCGGAGGAGCTTGGAGGCTGTGGTGATTCTGTGGTGATACGTTAGTTGGGTTCTCCATAGGTATATCTGTGGGTTTGAAATAGAGTGATTGCGTTTATCGTCTCTTTCTAGTATACGCGGGATTGCTGTCAGGGAGGGGGGGAAAATGCTGACATTTTGGAAAACTCATAGATAACCGGGCGGAATTTCTCCTGGATATCGCAAATGCTGTAGGAGCGCAAAAAGACGCCACCGGTCAGCAAAGCATTTCATGTAGTATACAGCGTCCAATTCTTTATATAGAGAGATATATATATATATATATCCATCGCAGGTCGTCAAGCCCAGGAGACTGTATGTTCTTAGAAATGAGGTCAAACATACAAAAGTGCCGGATTCCCTAACGCAAAGAAGCAGCTACCTATTAGCCATCGCCATTCTTCAAGACCAAAGAATCAGAACTAACCAATCCGTGCCGTCTTCGGGTTCAGCACAGGAGCAGCGGTTCCAGAAGACATTCTTGCTGGCGGGGTGACTGGGCCGCGGGAGTAAGGTTTTGCCGCACAGAGCTTCGAGGAGGCAGAGAGGGAAGCGTGGGAGGATAGAAAGCGTGGCGAGAAACGTGGAATGCTCGCTGGCCGGAGCATGGGGATGCGGGATGGGGGGATGCGGGATGGGGGTTCGGTTGGAGGGAAGTGGGAGTCGAGGGCGGCAAACGGGGTTGCGGTTGCTGGTCAGACCAGGATCGGGGCTGCGGGGATACATACGCTGGTATCTTTTGTATGGGCACACCGTGCAACTGGTATGGTACCCCATGAGGAAAAATGAATATCCTCAACACTATGTCGGATACGACCATTAAATTAAGAGGAGAAAATATATTTGAATAAAGAGAATGTTACAATATGGACAGTACAAAAAAATTGAAATACAATTCAGGACTTTTTCCTCCTAACTTTTGTGG